CGGCCTTTGCGGTGTATACAGACACCCAGGAGCCCCTTCTCCCAGCCTGGGGAAGGGATGGTGGATTCTGGAGGAAGGAGACATCAGTGAGGACACAGAGTTCAAAAGAAGGCCCTGCTCCCCTCAGCCAGGGGCATCTGTGTGGGCTGGAACTTGTACTGTCTGCACACTTCCTCCCCACCAGGCCACAGAATCCACATGGGTCCTCCTTCTCGACACCAGATCACTCTTTCGTCTCCCCATGGGCTTGCTATGAGCAGGAGACGCAACTTCTTCTCCAGCTTCTTTTCCTGCTCTTCCCATCCCTTAAGTTCTGTTCCTGGGGATAGAGACGCCAATACCCACAACCTCTCTCCTAAGCCTCCTCATAACCCAGGGTGCACAGCACACACTCCTGACAACTGGTTAAGGCCAACGACCTTCGAGCTCACAGCTGGCTGTGCCTGAGGGCAGGGCAGTAGGCATGAGTGCTTATATGTTGAGGGCAGGACTGCCCTATGACAGGGTGTGGGGAGCCACGGGGCTCTGGGGTATGTCTGAGTGGGGACAAAAAGGTTCAGGAAGCCAAAGGCATGGGCTTATTTGTCATAGAAGTCCACGTGGGCTCCAGACTTGAACTCGTCCTTTTGCAGCAAGCTCAGCAGTTTCTGGGCTGACACCCTGCAATCCACCAGCTCTCCCTTTGCCTTCAGCTCCTGCAGTCCTTTTCGCATGTCTGGGTCCATGGAGGTCTCCCGGGCCAACTGCTGCATGTCTGTGTCTAAAGGACCTAGAGGATGAAAAGCAGATGATGAGTGAACATGGCCGAGGCAGGGACAGAAGGTTTTAGGTCCCCGTTGTATGTTGGGGGTGGGGCTGAGTCAGGTCTGGCCAGAGGAAACACATCATCTTGGCTGAAATGTGTGGTCAGGGTTGCTGAAGGCTCCAATTTGTCACTATTGAGTTCTGGGCTGAAATTCAAAAGCTCATGAACACGGACTCTCCAGACTACCATGTCTAAACCCAAGCTCCTCATCTGTTCAACCAGTACTACCTCCTGACATCCCCATTCCTATTAGTCAAGTATTCTTTTTCCAGAGTCAAAACCTCCATCACCTCCTCCTTCCACGCCCCATAGCCACATAGCCAAGCAGGCACCAGGTAGGACCCTTCAGCATCTACACATCCCAACCATCAGGCCCTTTTTACAACCTTGCTTCTCTCCCTGCCTCAGCTCCTTCTGTAGCCCACTACTAAACTCATTCTACTCAAACATCACTGGGGGCCAGGCGCAGTGGCTCATGCCTGTAATCTCAGCACTTTAAGAGGCTGAGGCGGGAGGAACACTTGAGGTCAGGAGTTTGAGACCGGCCTGGCCAACATGGCGAAACTCCGTCTCTACTAAAAATACAAAAATTAGCCAGGCATGGTGGCACATGCCTGGCTAATTTTTGTATTTTTAAGAAATGAAGGCTTTAAGAGGCTGAGGCATGAGAATCGCCTGAGCCTGGGAGGCGGAGGTTGCTGTGAGATCACAACACTGGACTCTAGCCTGATGACAGAGCAAGACTGTCTCAAAAAAACAAACAAACAAAAACATCACTGGAATCACACCATTCCTCTGCTCAAAACCCCTCAACAGCTTCCCAACAGCCTGGCCCAGTACTCAAGGCACCCCTGTCTGCTCTCCTCTGGGCACACCACCTACCCTACAGGCAAACAGGATGATCTGCCACTCTCACAATGAGCCTTCACATCTTCATTTCCTTTTATCAGGAATGCCTTCCACCTGCTAATAACCAAGGTCAATGTACAGTTCAGCTACCTCCAATAAAGCCATCCCTAGTCTCCCCCGCTGAAGGGAATTGTTCCCTTCTTGAACTGTTGTAAGCATTCCTATGTTCTGTTCTTCACATAGGAATCACTCATGCACCCCAGAATTTGCAGTTAATGGTCCTCAGGGGCAGAAAATCAGAGAATTCCAGGGTTGGAAGAAGAATCTCTCCCCTGGTCCTTGACTGTTTTCCAATGACCTGTGCATCCCTGCCGAGAGGGGACTTGCTGCCTTTCCAAACAGCCCATCCTATCTCTGAGCACCTATTAGAACATTCTTCCCGAGACCAAAATGAAAACCTTGGTTCAGGCCCTGGGGACCTCCTGAAAAATCTCAGCTCCCTCATAATGCCCAGGGCAGCCTCCTGAGACCAAACGCAGCCATGTGGCCTCTGTTCCTGGCTGTAGCTTACATTTGGTCACTACTGTTTGTACGAGTCCTTGGGCTAGGCTCAGAGTGGATGATGAGTTGAATGTCGGTTGCAAGAATAACTGCGCATGTGTGTTGGGGGTGGGGGTGGTTGGTGTGGTAGGGGCTGGGGTACTGGAGAACAAGAGGAAGAACTTGGACGCAAGGTGGGATTCAGCCCTGCCACATCTGTGCTTTGTGCAGGCCATTCCACCTGTCTGCCCTGAGATCCTGGTCCTATTCCCCAGGGGCACAGACTACTGGATCTCTGCCCAAGTTGCTCAGGCATTCCAGGGCTGCTCTGTTACCACCTTCTGATTGCAGCAACCTCAAGCCTAGAAGAGAATCCTCACTATTAAGAAAGGAGTGCTGTGGCATAAAAAACCAGACCTGGTGTCACAAAACTCCCTGTCCTTTGGTGTTCATGAGACCAAGGGCTCTACCGTATTTATCCCAGTATCCCCCATAGTGTTCCAGCACAGTTCAGCTGGGGATAGTCAGCGCTCAACAATGTCTGTTGGCTCTCCATGCAGCTAGCATGTCCTGCAGCCTGCGTTAGTGCAGTGCTTTGCTAGGTGCTATGCATAGTGCAAAGGCTTTCCTGTCAAGGGAGGGAAGGAGGCAAGCAAACATGCAGACAATATGGTGTGGTCAGTCCTATTTAACAATGAGGCAATATGTCACAGGTCCGGGTCATTTTCACATACAGTATCTCATTCAGTCTTCCAAAGTGCCCTGTGAGGCAGGAAGGATCTTCCCCATTTCACATGAGGAAGGCCTGAAACTCGAAATCCAGTCTTCTCCCAAACTCCATCTAATACCTTAGACTTTCCTGCCTCAAACCTCCAGTCCAGGCAACTCATCCCTCTCTGCCAGTAGCCCAGCCCCTGCCAGCTCTTACTTCCTTGGGTCCATATTTTCCCTAAGGGGTGATGGGTCATGATTCAGGGACAAAATACTCTGTGGGTTGTTTCCTGGAGGGAGCGGACTAGGCTGCTTGCCCAGCCCGCAGAGGGGGACCAGTGGGTCCTGGAGGACAGGGATGGCAGGACTTCCCACCTACCTGGGGCATAGTTCAGCACCCTCACATTAGGTTCCTCCAGCGCTAGGACCTGGAACAGCATATCACGAGCAGCCTTTCCTGCACAGTACAGCGCCCAGCCTTTGAAGGGCTGCAGGGCACAGAGGGACGAGATGTTAACCACGGTTCTGTTGAGGCCAGGACTGGCCGGGAAGGCCTTCAAGACGCTGGAAGTCAGGCAGAGCATGGAGGTCAAGTTCAGCGCCCAGTAGTTGTTCACTTGAGTGGAGTCACTCAGGTCTGTGAAGCCTTTGGACACATCCCCAAGAGAGCCTGAAAAACCAGAGCTTAAGGGTAACTCAGTGCAGGAAGGGCTTTCTTCTCCCCCAGCCCTCACCGAGTTCCTCCGGATATCCTCTTCCCATGCAGGCCTAGTGGAAGAAGTTGCCTAGCGCTTCAGAAGAGGCTTCTCTCTACCCCAGCTCTGCGGAGAGACACACCTGGGGAACCCAGCCATCCCAAGCTGCAGAATGAGAAGGCACCTGCCTTGCCCTGGGGCTGAGGGACAGTCCTAGGGGTCCTTTGGAAAAGCAGGGAGTTTACTAGTTTGGAGACTCCAAGCCCTGTCTCAGGCCTCCACCAGAGGGCGCAGAGCAAGGGGATCGGGAAAGTTCCACAGGCGCTTTGGAAAACCCGGCTGGCCAATTTTCCAGGAAGTGGAGCAGACTGTTGCCCCGACGGCACCGGGTCTCCCTGTACATCTCGCCTTCATTTGCTACTCAAACTGGAACAACTAGGGCTTTAGATTTCCAGGCTTCCTATCCGAATCCCTAGGAGTCGCTCTTAAATGCGCCAGCGGTGGAGGAAGTGGACACTCACATGGGAGTCCGCTCCAGCCCTGGTGTCTTACCGGCGTTGTTGATCAGCAGCAGACGCTGCAGCCCCTCGGGCCTGGGGAGCTCGCGCAGGGTGCTGAGCAGCTGCTGCAAGCCAGCCTCTGCGCCTAGGTCGGCGGGCACCCGCACCACGCGCAGGCCAGACCGCTCGGCGCCCAGCTCGGCCTCCAGCTGCCGCAGTGCCTCGTCGTTGCGGGCGTTAAGGACCAGCACGGAGCCGCGCGATAGCAGCGAGACCAGGAGCGGGGCCAGCGCCCGGCCGAAGCCGCGGGAGGCCCCGGTCAGCACGCACACAGCACGCCCCAGGCCGCCCTCCATGCTACGGTCCTCCGCCGGCGGCGCTGGGCCCCGAGACCAGGTGGGAGGCGGGGCGGGCCGTGGAGGGGGTGGGACCGCGACGGGTGTGGGCGGGGCCGCCCTGCCGGGGAGGGGCCGGAACCTCAGGCTTCGGGCCGCGAGGGCCCGGGGGTGGTGGTTTTCCCTGGATCTGGTTCCCTTGACTGCTGGTAGCGGAAGTCAAGTTGTGGGCGGGAGCCCAGTACGTGTTGAGGGTCTAAATAGAAAGGGCCGGCAGGCGCGGCCCACACGGAAAGCCCTAGCCAGGTTCCTAGCGCTGCATTGCTCTTTGCCCGCACGCCCAACCCCCGGCTGGGACGCATGCTCGGAATTTCCTCCCAGTTCCAGCCCTAACTTCTTTGCACAACTGACCTCTTCCAGGGCAGGCCCCGAACCCGGTACTGGGCGTCCTCCTGGTCGTGGCCAGTGAAAGCCCTGAATGAAGCTCATGCCCATTTAGGGACTGAGGTCTCTGCTGGGCTTGGGAGCTCACCGCTGTCTGGATGACAGGAGATTGCTCTGGGAGAACCACAGTGGTTCCAAGTGATAATAAAACCTTTCCGTTTTACTAGACTCTGAGCAGCTCCTTGCTGTCACCAGTACCCTCTGCCTCTTTGGGATTTCTGATTTCTGTTCCTAAAAGTGTATTCCTCAGGATTCTGCCCCTGCTTATGCTACAGTCTCCCTGGTAGCGATTCCGTCCATTCTCAGCTTCGAGTTTATGCAGTCGTCTGTCTGTACCTCCAGGTAGGTGCTTCAGAAAATTCACATTTTTTTTTTCTAGGAGAGAGGGAATGTGAGACAAGTTGGCATGCAGCTACATGTACTAAAAATGAATCTCTTCATGGTTTCCTTTATGGCCGAATGGTATTCCATTATGTATATACATATGTTCAAATATTGTGTATCAGTTTTTTAAAAATGGATCTCTTTATAGAGTTTTGCAAGGGCAGTAAGTAACCTCTGATAACAGCTCAATTCCCCACAGGGCTGATCCCTCCCCTGGGGCTAAACAGCAAAGTTACCTTGCCACTATTATTGCCAATTCCAAGAAAGAAACAACTTGGAAGAAGCTTTTTTTTTTTGGGTCTCGCTCTGTGTCCCAAACTGGAGTGCGGTGGTGCAATCAGAGTTTACTGCAGCCTTGAGCTCTTGCGCTCGAGCAATCCTTCCACCTCAGGCTCCTGAGCAGCTAGGACTACAGGTGCACCACCACGCTTGGCTAATTGTTTTTAAGCTTTTGGTATTTCAATGCTGATAGGACCCTGTATACGTGTATACCATTTGAAGTTGCCCTGCTTTTCACTTAGCTATTCACACTGAAAGATAAAGATCTTATTGGCCCAACAGCCTACTCTTTAAAGAATTTTAATAGCTTCTCCCTGCTCTCCAGGCCTTAGAAGACAGGTTGATGAAAGCACGATCCCATCCATCCATTCATGTGACATTTATTAAATTTCTACCATCTGTCAGACTTTGAAGAAAAGGAGGGAACAATGAAGGGATGGTAAAGCATGAGACTTAGCCTCTTCTGAACCTAGCTGCTTCTAGGAGGAACCACTTAGGAACAGCCCCTAAGGAGAGTGTGGTTTTCCTGGACTAGGAGAGGGTCTGGAAAATTCTTTTCTGAGAAAGACGATTATCTGCTTTAGCTATTTTTCGTATTTTTTGTAGAGATGGATCTTGCTATGTTGCCCAGTCTGGCCTTGAAATCCTGATTTAAAGCAGTTTTACTATCTTGACCTCCCAAAGTGCAGAGATTATAGGTGTAAGCCACTGCACCCGGCCAACAGTAACTTTTTTTAAAAAAAGGCACAAAAATGCCTGAAAGGTAAGATGTAAAAATTGTGTTAAAAGCATAAGCCTGATAAAGGACATGGGTAGGGGAATGGGTGAAATTTGAATATGGTCTGTAGGTTAGTTATTGACATTGAATCATTTCCTGATTTTAACTAATGAACTATTGTTATTTCGGAGAATGTTCTTGTTTTTGGAAATACACACAAGTATTTAGTAAAGGGGCATCACATCTGCAACTTACTTTCAAATGTTTCTGAAAAAAATTAGAATGAGTAAGGCAATGGTAAAATGTTAACATTTAGGAAATCTGCATTAAAAATATTCAGGAATTCTTTGTACTATTCTTGAAACTTTGTAAAAGTCTGAAATTATTTCTAACTAACAAAGTTTTTACAATGAGCCATACTTGGCTCATGCCTATAATCCCAGCACTTTGGGAGGCTGAGGGAGGAGGATCACCTGAAGTTAGGAGTTTGAGACCAGCCTGGCCAACATGGTGAAAGCCATCTCTACTAAAAATATAAAAATTAGCCGAGTGTGGTGGTGCATGCCTGTAGTCCCACCTACTCAGGAGGCTGAGGCAGGAGAATCACTTGAAGCCAGGAGGCAGAAGTTGCAGTGAGCTGATCTCACACTACTGTACTCTAGCCTGGGTGGCAGAGCAAAACTCCATCTCAAAAAAAAAGAACCGTACTTACAAGTCAAAAATAAAATTTTTAAAAAAGTGAGCAAAGGATGTGAATAGACATTTATCCAAAGAAATTACACAAATGGCCAATAAGCACATAGAAAGATGTTCAACATAATTTGCCATCAGGGAAATACAAATTAAAATTACAATGAGATACCACTTCACCTCCATTAAGATGGCTAAAATAAAACAGAAAGATTACAAATATTGGCAGGTGATATGATTTGGCTGTGTCCCCATCCAAATCTCGTCTTGAATTATAGTTTCCACAATTCCCACGTGTCATGGGAGGGACCCAGTAGGAGGTTAATTGAATCATGGAGGCAGGTCTTTCACATGCTGTTATTGTGATAGTGAATAAGTCTCATGAGATCCGATGGTTTTATAAATGAGAGTTCCCCTGCACAAGCTCTCTCTTGCCTGCCACCATGTAAGACATGCCTTTCACCTTTCACCTGCCACTATGATTATGAGGCCTACCCAGACATGTGGAACTGTGAATCCATTAATCCTCTTTTTCTTTATAAGTTACCCAGTCTTGGGTATGTCTTTATCAGCAGTGGAAAAATGGACTAATACAGTAAGTTGGTACTGAGAGTGGGGTGCTTCTGTAAAGATACCTGAAAATGTGGAAGTAACTTTGGAACTGGGTAACAGGCAGAGGTTGGAACAGTTTGGAGGGCTCAGAAGATAAGAAAATGTGGGAAAGTTTGGAACTTCCTAGAGACTTGTTGGATAGCTTTGACCAAAATGTTGATAGTGATACAGACAATAAGGTCCAGGAAGAGGTGGTCTCAGATGGAGATAAGGAACTTGGGAACTGGAGTAAAGGTCACTCTTGCTATGCAAAGAGACTGGCAGCATTTTGCTTCTGCCCTAGAGATCTGTGGAACTTCAAACATGAGAAAGATGATGTAGGGTATCTGGCAGAAGAAAATTGTAAGCAGTGAAGGATTAGAGAGGAAGCAATGCGTAAAAATTTGGAAAATTTGCAGCCTGATGATGCAATAGAAAAGAAAACTTCATTTTCTAGGGAGAAATTCAAGCTCACTGCAGAAATTTGCATAAGTAACAAGGAACCAAGTAAGTAACAGGAAGCCAAGACAATGAGGAAGGTGTCTCCAGGGCATGTCAGAGACCTTCACAGCATTCCCTCCCATCACAGGCCCAGAGACCTAGAAGGGAAAAATTGTTTCAAGGACTGGGCCCAGAACCCCTTGTTGTGTGCAGCCTAGGAACTTGATGCCCTCCGTCCCAGCTGCTGCAGTCATGGCTGAAAGAGGCCAAGGCACAGCTCATGCTGTGGCTTCAGAGGGTGAAAGCCCCAAGCCTTGGCAGCTTCCACATGGTGTTGAGCTTGCTGATGTGGAGAAGTCAATAATTGAGGTTTGGGAACCTCCCCCATTTCAGAAGATGTATGGAAATACTTGGATGTCCAGGCAGAAGTTTGCTGCAGGGCAGGGCCCTCATGGAGAATGTCTGCTAGGTCAGTACATAAAGGAAATGTGGGTTTGAAGCCCAGACACAGAGTCCCCACTGGGGCACTACCTAGTGGAGCTGTGAGAAAAGTGTCATGATCCTCCAGACATCGGAATGGTAGATCGAAGAACAGCTTGCACCATAATCCTGGAAAAGCCACAGACACTCAATGCCAGCCCATGAAAGCAGCCAGGAGGGAGGCTGTACCCTGCAAAGCCACAGGGGTGGGGCTGCCCAAGGCCATGGGAGCCCACCTCTTGCATCAGCATGACCTGGATGTGAGATATGGATTCAAAGGAAAAAATTTTGGAACTTTAAGGTTTAATGACTTCCCTATTGGATTTTGGACTTGCAAGGAGCCTGTGGCCCCTTTGCTTTGGCCAATTTCTCCCATTCGGAATAGCTATATTTACCCAATGCCTGTATCCCCATTTTATCTAGGAAGTAACTAACTTGCTTTTCATGTTACAGGCTCAGAGGCAGAACGGACTTGCCTTGTCTCAGATGAGACTTTGGACTTTGGACTTTTGAGTTAATACTGAAATGAGTTAAGACTTTGAGTGACTGCTAGGAAGGCATGACTGGTTTTGAAATGTGAGAACATGAGATTTGGAGGGGCCAGGTGTGAAATGATATGGTTTGGCTGTGTCCCCACCCATATCTAATCTTGAATTCTGTCTCCCACAATACCCACATGTTGTGGGAGGGACCCCGTGAGAGGTAATTGAATCATGGGGGCAGTCTTTCCTGTGTTCTTCTTATGGTAGTGAATAAGTCTCACAAGATCTGATGGCTTTATAAATGGGAGTTTCCCTGCGCAATCTCTCTTGCCTGCCACCAAGTAAGACATGTCTTTTGGCCAGGCATGGTGGCTCATGCCTGTAATCCCAGCACTTTGGGAGGCCAAGGCAGGCAGATCACTTGAGGTCAGGAGTTTGAGACCAGCCTGGCCAACATGGTGAAACCCTGTGTCTACTAAAAATACAAAAATTAGCTGGGCATGGTGGTGCATGCCTGTAAATCCCAGCTACTTGGGAGGCTGAGGCCAGAGAATTGCTTGAACCCAGGAGGTGGGGGTTGCAGTGAGCCAAGATTGTGCCACTGCACTCCAGCTTGGGTGACAGAGTGAGACTCCATCTCAAAAACAAACAAACAAAAAACGGCATGCCTTTTGCCTCCTAAGTAACAGGGATTACATGGGATTACAGGTGTGTGCCACCATACCCAGCTAATTTTTATATTTTTAGTAGAGACAGGGTCTCACCCTGTTGGCCAGGCTGGTCTCAAACTCCTGACCTCAAGTGATCTGCCGCCTTGGCCTCCTAAAGTGCTGGCATTACAGGCATGAGCCACTGCACCCGGTCTGGAGGCCAGAATTCTGAAATCAAGATATCAGCAGGGTTATACTCCCTCCAAGGTTTCCAGGGGGAGAATTCTTCCTCTTCTAGCTCCTGGTGGCTCCAGGCATTGCTGCCAGCAGTCCTCAATGTTCCTTGGCTTATAGCTGTGTAACTCCAAACTTTGCTGCTAACTTTACATGGCCTTCTTCTCTGTATGTCACTTGTCATTGAATTTAGGACCTGTCCTGAATCCAGGATTATCTCATCTCAAGAAACTAAATTTAATTATAGTTACAAATAAGGTCATATTTTTTCCAAATATGATCGTATTCACAGGTTTCAAGTAGACATATCTTTTGAGGTTGAGGAGGGGGGATATACAACTCAACCCATTAGGATATACGATAGAGAAGCAGGGCTTTCTCATTAAGAAATTTCCTGGCCGGGCGCCGTGGCTCACGCTTGTAATCCCAGCACTTTGGGAGGCCGAGGCGGGTGGATCATGAGGTCAAGAGATCGAGACCATCCTGGTCAACATGGTGAAACCCTGTCTCTACTAAAAATACAAAAATTAGCTGGGCATG